TGTCTGTCCGTCCGTCCGCGGCCTCACCCGCTCCATGGCGATCACTCCGGGCAGGGCCCCCGCAGGCCTCCCCACGGGCCGCCTCCTTCAACGAGTGTCTGCATCTCGGAAGGGAGGACCCGCAGGCTCCACGAGGTCCGTTTGCCCAAGGCCACGTGGTGGTGAGCGCCGGCCCCGCCCAGACCCATAACCTTTCAGAAAGCCTCCCACCTGTGGCTCCCCCAGAGCAGGTGCTCCGTGAAGGGACAGATGAGCACATCCCGCTCCGCCCCCGCCCCCGTCCTGCCTCAAATCACACCGTGTGCGCCCCCTCCGCAGCTACCACCATCCCTCCCACCCGGATGGGCAGAACCTGCCAACCTCCATTCTCCCCGCGCCTGCCCACCCCCATTCAGTTTCCCCAGAGCTGCCAGGTACACCTTTTTAAAAACTAACCCCGCGAATATTTAGCCTTAAAAAGGAAGGACATTCTGACACGCGCTGCAACGTGGATAAACCTTGAGGATATTGTGAGTGAAATAGGATAGACACAGAGGGACAAACACTGGACGGTTACACTTACTTTTTTTGGGGGGGGAGGGCGCGGTTACACTTACTTACAGGAGGAGTCAGGTTCACAGAGACAGTGTAATGGGGTGACCCGCGGAGACGACCACCAGGGACTCAGATCAAAATTTAGGAGCCTTTATTAAGCTGGCCAGCGACTACAGTTACAGCACCTGCCGAAGCAGAGGCTGAACTGCAGTGCCTACTACAGGAGTTACATTTTATTATTAAATTCTGTGCAGGCCCAGAGAAATGTGTCTTTCAAATTCTGGGCTCCCAATATGGAGGAAACTATTTATACTTTTTCCAGTCCTTTGTCTCCCTAATTTGGAATGAGACTTCCGGGCCTTCTGAGAAAGAAGGCCTGCGTGCTGGGAAGGGGCCATGAGACCATATCTCAAGGCCTGGCCTGATGAAAAGCCACAGTGGGCGCCCTGGCCGGGCAGCTCAGTTGGTTAGAGCATCATCCGGCCACACCAAGGTCACAGGTTTGGTCTCCTGGCGGGGCACACACAAGAATCGCCAGTGAACACATAAACATGCGGAACAGTGCATCCACGTTTCTCTCTCCTGCCCCCTTCGCGCTCAGATCCATAAATATGAACTTCCTAAAAGCAACAGTGGGTGGTCTCCAGTGCTCTGAGGTGGACAGAGGCCACCAGTTCCCCCAGACGCATGTGTATTATGCGAGCAGCCTGTGTGATCCCTGGGTGACTGCAGATTGGGGGATCAGTGCACCAGGGGCTCTGCTGGGCGAACGTGAAGTGCTTGTGCAGGAAGTAAAATAATGAGCCACCTGAGCTGGGGTGTTTGGGAACATGAAAAAGTTCTGGAGATGGTGGTGGTGATGGTTTTACAACAATGTGAATGTACTAAGTGCCACCGAATTATCTAACTAAAATGGTAAATTTTATGTATTATTTTCCACGTAAGTCAATCCATCAGCCCCACTGGAGTGGCTCAGTGGTTGGGGGTCGACCTATGAACAGGGAGGTCATGGTTCCACTGCCGGTCAGGGCACATGCCCGCTGTGAGCCGTGCAGGAGGCAGCCAATCAGTGATTCTCCCTCATGATTG